ATATTGTAAGCGGTGCAATTTCTGCTTGTGCAAATGTCACATGCAATTTTTTTGCGTTTCACGCGACCTATTCAGATCTTGAAAAAACCATGTCTCAATTTTGGGAAACTGAGAAAGTCCCTGAGATATTTCCAGAATATCCCAGCGAGCAAGAAGCTTGCGAGTCTTGTTTTCAAAATTCTCTTGAAATAATAAATAACCAATATCAGGTGAAATTGCCACTAAAACAAACTGACATAAATTTGGGGGATTCATTTTCAGTGGCTATAAAGCGCTTTGAAAACCTGGAAAAAAGATTTAGAGTTAATCCTGATCTTTTCTCACAATATAAGAGTTTCATGGATGATTATTTGAATTTAAATCATGCCAAAATTGTCAATTACCCTGTAGAGGAGTTAACTAATGGTTCGATTTATTTCATGGCGCATCACCCCGTTATAAGGGAAGACAAAAAAACCACCAAACTCAGAGTTGTCTTTGATGGCAGCATGAAATCGAAACAAAAGAAATGTATAAATGACTTCTTGTACAATGGGGCAGTAGTCCAGAAAGACTTATTCGATATTCTTGTTTGCTTCAGAACTTATAAATTCGTAATTTTAACTGACATAAAACAAATGTACCGCATGGTTTTAATTCACCCGGAACACCGGCCATTGCAAAACATTCTGTGGAGAGATCATCTCGGTTCCTTACAGTATATTCAATTACAGACAGTCACCTATGGCTTGAAAAGCTCGTCTTTTTTAGCAACGAGGTGTTTGGCTGAGCTGGCTCACTCAGAAGGTAAAAAGTTCCCTCTCGCAGCAAAAGCTCTTTTAAATAATACATACGTAGATGATATCTTATCGGGTTCTGACACAATTGAAGAGACCATAAAGCTTAGAGACGAATTAATTTCTTTATTGGGTTCACGATCATTTTTTCTGCATAAATGGTGTACCAATGAACCAAACATTTTGAGTGGCATCCCTAAAGATAAACAAAATTTCGATGAGGTTGATATGAGTAAGAATAATTTTACCGTAAAAACACTAGGCCTAACTTATGATACCATTTCTGATCATTTTAAATTGTCAACTCCTAAAGTTATGGACATCAATGAATATTTAACAAAGAGACAAGTACTCAGTTTGATCTCCAAATTTTATGACCCTTTGGGGTTGGCAGGCCCGATTTTGGTGGCAGCCAAAGTAATCATGCAAAAAATTTGGACATGCAAACTTAGTTGGGATGAAGTATTGCCCGATGATTTGTTGGACATTTGGAAAAGTTTTATAAAGGGTTTTATTAACATGCAAACTTTGGAGATTCCTCGGAATTTATATTTCACAAACGCAAATAGCATTGAGCTTGTAGGGTTTTGCGATTCGTCCATGATAGCATATGGAGCAGTCATTTATGTAAGAACATTTTTTCCTGACAGAGTACATGTAAATTTAGTTTGTTCAAAGTCTAGAATAGTACCTATAAATAAAAAACTTACCATTCCTAGATTGGAACTTAATGGAGCTTTGCTTTTAGCAAATCTGGCAAAAAAGGTGTCTATCTTATTGCAATCAAAAATTGATAAAGTATTTATTTATTCTGATTCGACCATTGTACTTGCTTGGTTAAAATCAGATCCTCTGAAATTAAACCCTTATGTGGCAAACAGAATTATAAAAATTCAAAACTTAACTTCAACTTTTAAATGGTTATATATTAACACGAAAGAAAATCCTGCCGATTGTCTATCCAGGGGTCTCGAGCCTCAGGAAATTGAGTCAAATAATCTGTGGTTCCACGGTCCAAACGTTCTTTCTGATATTAATTTTTGCCATAATGAGATTCCTATAGAAATTCCTGCTTCCTTGCCAGAAGAAAAAATTTTAACACAAGTCATAAAAACAAAGCCAAATTCATTTTTTGAAGATTTTTCATCCCTTAGAAGACTTCAAAGAGTTTTTGCCTATATACTTAGATTTGTTCACAATTCTGGAAAAAATTCTGGTGAAAAACTTGAGGGAAGTTTGAAGCTTTCAGAACTGGAACACAGTCTTAGAGTAATCATAAAATGTGAGCAAGACTTTTACTTTTCTAATGACATTAAATCTTTACTTTCCAATACCCCTTTAAAATCCTCATTAAACTCTTTGTCGCCGTTCCTAGATGGCAATGGATTATTGCGAGTGGGTGGAAGGTTACATAATTCAAACATTCCATATAATCAGAAACATCCTGTGATCTTGCCCAAGGAAAGTCACATCACCAAATTAATTATATTACAAGAACATTCAACTTTGTTGCACGCTGGACCAAGACAAGTTTTAGGTTCCCTAAACCTCAATTATTGGCTCATAAATGGAATAAGATTAATTAAAAAAGAGCTACACAAATGTGTGATTTGCTTTAAATTCAAAGCAAAATGTTCCACTCAATTAATGGGTTCCTTGCCGGAAAAAAGAGTCTGTTCAGCCAGAGTGTTTCAAAATGTCGGGGTAGATTTTTGCGGTCCCTTCCTCGTTAAGCAATCTCGAATTAGAAAATCCGTAAGTTCCAAGGCATACATAGCACTTTTTGTGTGCTTTTCAGTCAAAGCAATTCATATGGAACTGCTTTCAGACCTGACAACCGAAAATTTTCTAGCTGCTCTGAAGCGTTTTATTTCGCGGAGGGGGAAGCCCGCAAATATTTTCTGCGACAATGGTTCCACGTTTAAAGGAGCCGAGAATAAAATCAAAGAGTTTTATAACGAAACAGAAAAAATTGAAAATTATTCCCTTCAGGAAAAAATTACATTTAATTTTATACCGAGCTATTCTCCAGTTTTTGGTGGTTTATGGGAAGCTGGAGTAAAATCGGCAAAATTTCACATCAAGCGAGTCATAGGTAGCAATGAGCTTACCTATGAACAATTTAATACTCTTATTGTCCAAGTAGAAGGAATTTTAAATTCCCGACCACTTGTAGCCTTGTCACAAGATCCTTCAGATTTGGACTATTTGACCCCTGGTCATTTTTTGATAGGTGCGCCTATCACAAGCTTTCCTGACCCTGATTTGACGGAAATTCCCCAAGGTCGACTTAAGTTTTGGAAATTGTGTGTCCAGATGCAGCAGCATTTTTGGAAAAAGTGGTATCACGACTATCTAACGCAACTCCAAAATAGGCCAAAATGGCGTGATGAGATGCCTAACCTTAGGGAGGGCTTGTTAGTCATTTTAAAAGAGGATAATGTACCTTCTTATAAGTGGCCAATGGCAAGAATAGTTAAAGCAATACCTGGAAAGGACGGCAAAGTAAGGGTTGTCGAAGTGAAAACCAAAAAAGGTATTTATCTCAGATCGGTTACCAAGATTGCAGTGTTACCGATTGATGACAATAATTGTTAATAATATTTTTGAAAATTATTCACAAAATTCTGTACATATATTTGTAAAACATTTAGATTTATATTTATATTCAATTAGCTATACTCGTATATACATACATAATGTCATACTATGTGTTCCAGAAATGTTTTTAGCTTTAATTGTTAGTTAAGTTTTCGTTTACTGGATCATCATTGAAATCATACCTTTTTTTTAAAAAAAGGGTTGCTTACTTTCTCTTTAATTTTTTTATTTTTTTTTGCTGGAAAATTTTACCTTGGTTTCATGTGAAACTCTAGGCCCCCCAGCATGTTGGAAACATGTTCCAACAATCATGCTATCTCTTTTTGATGGCAAAATATTTTTATACATATAAAGTTTGCAACACTGCAGCGTTGTCGTCATGTCTATTTTGTCATGTCTGTCAATATATTGCGCGCCATTTTTTGTCATTGCAGCAGTGTAGCTTGGAGCTTGTCCACGTTAACAAGCATCCAGAAACCTTTTCACATTTTAATAAATTCTATAATCTAGCTCTGCCCTGTTGGGCATCTAAGCAAGCTCTGGCTTCTTGTCATCTTGTAGTAGTAATTGTAAATAGTGTAAATATTGTGTAAATTGTTGTAAATATAGTGTCAGTGAAAAGCGCGTGTGTTTTAGTTCCCTATCCAGTCGATCATCCAGTCCACCTAATTATACAGTCCACTAATTATCAAGTTATTTATCTTCCATTATGTGGTTTTGCACAGTCGTAATTCCTATTTGTTTGTATTTTATGTAAAAACTGCCATTTCCCGTGAAGCCGGAAAAGACATTCAATTGTTTTTATATTAAAATTGTTCAAAATTTTCAACCCTATCAATAAACCGAGTTGCATATTTCTATCTCGAGCCGTTAAGAAATGCCGCCATGGGTAGTAGTTTCATTGTCACCCGGTATATATGATGGGAATGGAGTAAGACACTATCAGGTCTTTTCCGTAAAGGTTTTTCGAAATTCAGGACAAAGAAATCAAGAAATCCGGACAAAATCCGTACTTCGCCAAAGTAGCTATTTATGCAACAAGTGTGTAAAGTGAACCTTTTTTCACGGCTCGTGAGTTATAATCCACATTCGTGAAAAAAGGTTCACTTTACACTCGTATTGCATATACAAAAAAAAATTTCATTACCAATAAAATATGTGTACTTAAACAAATAAATTTAGACAAATACTTTACACACTAGTGCGTAAAGTGTAAAGTGAAGTAATTTATTAGAAAAAAATGACGATGTCGACATCTGTCATTGACATTACCTAACTTCACGCACTAGTATGTAAAGTGAATTACTTAACGTATACCTACTAGTGCGTAAAGTAAAATTTTACGTTTTTTGAATAGTGCGTAAACTGAGTATGAGTGTTTTCACGATCTCCAAGTTTTCTGGACATTGTTCCGAATTCCGGCCGGACTTCCCCGGACACACTAAAAACCCAAACATGACTGGTTAAATCCGGATTCCGAACGTATGGATACCCTACCATCAGGGCCTATCGACTTTCATTACAAAAATAAGATTTAACTCGCCGCCAGAATAGTATGGGCACAAATTTGTGCTATCTTTATTATAGGTATACCTATATCAAGAATAAGAAACTGAAAATCAATTATTTTCAATAATAAAAAATATATTCATAATAGAAAGTAAACAATGACATGCATAATTAAAACAGCCCCTCGATTTCTCCAGTTTCAATGTTCAAATCGATATCATAAATGGCGGGTCTGGTAGGCAATCCAGGAATTTTATTTATCTGAAACAAGTTTGATTTGGTATAAAAATATTCTCGAATGAAAAACAGAAAAATTACCTCTCCAGTAGAAGGAATAATAAATCCAGCACCCACAGAAGCAGACACGTCCTTAACGTCTAAGGTGAACCCAGTAGGAGCACCTTTCACGCTCGGATCACCGCTTAAAGATAGTTGAGTCTTGGACATACATATAGGCAAATTTCCATATCCCTGAGCCTCGAATTTCTGCAATTTTCCTTCAGCCAACGGTGTAAATTTAACTTCCCCGGCCCCATACATTTCTTTGGCAATGATCTGAATTTTTTCTTTCAAAGGTTGGTTAAGCTCATACAAAAATTTAAATTTACTAGGTTGTTGTGTAGCCTCAACAACAGCTTTAGCTAAGTTTTCCGAGCCATCACTTCCTAGAGCCCAATGTTTGGATAAAACCACATCATGAGCTCCAGCCTTTTTCAATTCCGTCTCCAACAACTTAATTTCAGCCTCAGTATCGTTGGTATGATGATTTATAGCCACTACTACAGGAATTCCAAACTTATTTGCGTTACTTATATGCTTAATGGCATTAGGAAGACCTGCTCTGAGCAACGGTAAGTTTTCTTGAGTGTACTCTGGAGCTAAAGGCGATCCAGGAGAGACTGCAGGCCCTCCTCCGTGCATTTTCAAAGCTCTGATTGTCACAACTAAGACAACAGCATCAGGGATTTCTCCTGAAGTACGACATTTTATGTTAAAGAATTTTTCCATGCCAATATCGGAAGCAAATCCTGCTTCGGTAACCACAATACCGTCAGGCCCCACTAGTTTCAAGGCTATTTTATCAGCAATAATTGAATTAGCTCCATGAGCGATGTTGGCGAAAGGTCCTGCATGCACAAACACAGGCGAACCTTCCAGGGTTTGCATTATTGTTGGCTCGATGGCGTCTTTAAGTAGAACCAATAAGGCTCCAGTAACTCCCAAATCGTCTGCAGTGATTGGTTGGCCTTTTCTATCAAAGGCTACCACCATTTTTGCCAACCGCTCTTTGAAATCTTTTAGGTCTTTGGCTAAGGCTAATATGGCCATAATTTCGCTGGCAACAGTGATCATAAAACCAGTTTTTCTTGTATACCCCTTTTCCGTTGGAGACTCTCCAATGGTGATTTCTCTCAAATATCTATCATTGATGTCGAGGACCCTGCTCCAAATTACGTTTTCCGGATCTATGTCTAGCCTAGCAAATCTAGATTTTTCTTCTGCAGTTAAAGTATCGGGATCGGTTTTGTTGATATTCAACTTTTGCAAGCGCCTTAGTTGAATTTTTGAAAATTTTCTTTGGCCCTTAGTTTTCGGCACCAGCCTATCAAACAAAGCCGAATCCTTTTGGGTGGCCTCGTGGAATATTCTTGCATCTAACTGGGCAGCTAATAAGTTATTCGCAGCAGTTATCGCATGAATATCTCCAGTTAAATGCAAATTAAAATCTTCCATGGGGATGACTTGAGAATATCCACCGCCAGCTGCACCGCCTTTAATACCAAACGTCGGCCCTTGGGAAGGTTGTCTCATTGTAGCAAAGGTGTTTTTTCTCAATTTGGTTGACAGGGCTTGCGCCAGTCCCATCATGGTGGTACTTTTACCTTCGCCAAATGGTGTTGGGGTGATTGCGGTGACGACAACATATTTGCCTTTTTCACGGTTTTGTAACCGATCTAAAACCGACAAATGGACTTTGGCTTTTTTCGTACCATATTGAGACACTTCGCTCGGTAATAGACCAATTTCGTTGGCCAGCGACATGATATCTTTGGGTATTTGGCCTCGGGCTATCTCAATGTCACTGTAAATTAAATAAGTATTATTTATCTTTAAATAAATAAAAAACATGGAGGAAAAATGTTTCAACAATTGTTTTTTTTTTTTATTATGACTCTTTATTATGGGAATAACAAGAGTATTTACTATTTATATCTCTCTAAAAATACAAAACATGGATAATTTTTTTGAAATTTTGTATAATGTGTTTTATAATTATGTGCCCAAAAGTTTAGTAGGCCTCTGGTACTTTTATCAATTTCATAATTTTGTTAGATAGGGCAATTAGCCTTGTCAAATAGGTACTATAAAAGATGCTGATGCTTATGCTCCGCCATCATGAAGAGTGAAGACAGAAGAAACCAAGATATTTTCGAACTTTGTTCTTTTTTTGCTGAATACCATAAAGAATGCGTTTGAGACAAAAAGTTATAACTACTTTCCTGTGTTAAAGTAGACTATGTACAGGGTGAGTCATTTTGGGTGGAAATGCCGGGTACAGCCTAAACGGCGATAGCTACAAAAAATCTAATATACGAGTCGCGATCTATTTTTTCGAGTATAGTTTAGTTCACTCAGAATTTTTCGGAATTCATTTGTTTTCGATATACAGGGGTTTTTTGGAAAATGGCTGGTTTCTGTTTTTCTCTGTATCTCAGTTGTTATCAAAAATTTAAGAAAATGTTAAATTACGTTTTTGTGTAATTTTCTACGTAGAATCCAGTGGCGTATTCAGATTTTTTTTAGGGGTATTTTTCTTTGAGATATAGTCCAAATTTTAACTTTTTTAAATGGGACACCCTATATATTTTTACATCGTTAAATTAGATGTTTTTTTGTGATTATAACGATATATAACACTTTATAGTTTAATTAATTTTAACTGTCAAAAACGCGATAAAACTATATTTTTGGGGTATTTTACCTCCCAAACACAAACGTGGTTCGGCGGTAGCGGGAGCAAGGGCGGCAGCGACACGGGATTAGAAAATATGGTGGGAGATGATACATTTTATCCTAAAGCGTCATTTCTCTTACATGTCCTGCCACATATTTTAGTCCACGCTGCCCCTCCTGCGGTACCGCAATGGTGTGTAGGATTCTTTAATGAACATTTTTAGTCAAACAAATCATATCCAGTTTTCCTATCTATACCGGGTGCCCACGAGATTACTTTCCGGCTGCCATTTTTTTATTTGTCCATCGATATCAACGAAACTTGGTAGGCTTGATATTCTAACGAAACGCCATTTTTGTGCATCCACGACAAGTTTTCCTAACTTCCGGTTTTACCAGAAATTACTGAAACTTTTGATTTTCAAATGGCACACCCTGTATATTTTTTGTTTTTTCTATTCTACAGATAGTTTTACGACCTAGTGTACCACTTTTAAATCGAGTTTTGTCCAAATTTCGATTTCAAATTAAATTTTAAGTAGAAAAAAAATAAATTACCTATATAATAAATCAAAAATATTTAAACGAAAATTAAGAAAAATGTCGTAGTGTATTATATCGTTGGATTCGCCTTAAAATACTGCATTTAGTGATGTGAAAGTGATATGTTCCTATTCTAGTTTTTGAGCTAGGGCAAAAATAATAAAATAATGAAGTTTACAGCCCTCTATCAAAAAAGTTTACAAAGATAAAATTGAGTTTGTATTTTTCTGAAATTAAGTAAAGTATGTAGAGTCATTTTGGGATGATCATGGCACTCTAGTTGAAAAATTTAACTTTAATTAAAAAATAAAATTTAGAAAAAAATCGATTCAAAAGTGGTACATTAGGACGTAAAACAATCTGTAGAATCCAAAAAACAAAAAATATACAGGGTGTGCCATTTAAAAATCAAAAGTTTCGGTCATTTCCGGTGAAACCGGAAGTCAGGAAAACTTGTCATAAATGCATAAAAATGGCGTTTGGTTAGAATATCAACCCTACCAAGTTTCGTTGATATCGATAGATAAATACAAAAATGGCAGCCGGAAAGTGATCTCATGGGCACCCGGTATATATAAAAATCAAACTTCGCGGGGTATCCGGATATGCGCTCCAAAACCACTTATCCGATTACGATGAAACTTTGGTAGGTTGTTATGGCCATCCCAAGGAAGGTTTGTGGATAGGTTACGCATCTCGGAAAAAGAAATTAATTTTGAATCAATTATTAATTTAATTGTAAACAAACTCATTCACATTAATAATAAATAATAATAATAATAGTTTATTTTCGAATAACAAATGGTACAATATAACTTGAAATCTACAATCTACCTTAGAAAATAAACAAGTAAGCACAGAAACAACTTTAAGTTGTTTGTTAGTGCTATTTTTACTTAATCCTACTCACTACGTCACAGTCGGGGTTTAAATGTCACTATCATGAATAAAGTCATATTTTGGGTTTATGGGTCACAATTTGAGTTTGGTACTTATTTGTTATATTAATCCATTTTCATAAGTAGGTACAATAAACAATTTTACTATGTTATACAATTTTTATTTATATAGGTACTGTGCGACAAAAAAAACAAACGCATCGCCCACCAAAAGTGCATGCCCCCCAACAAATCCCCCACATATGCCAATGGTGCAAAAAATAACAATTATTGATTGAGTTTTATATTTTATATTTTTTAATAAATTAAATTTTACCTTCTACACCACAAGCACACGCACAGAATCCAGAATCCTGCCAAGAAGCCTGTTTTGTAATTGTGTTTTGAAAGATGTTTCATGGATAGCTTCTTTTAAATAATTTGGCAAATAATTAAAGAACTTTGGTGCTAAATAGTCCATTGTTTTATGCCGTATTTCTTTTTTACTTAAAGGAACTGTCTTACAATCGTTTCTAAATCTGGTGTTAATGTGGTGTGGAACTGCACGTAAAGTTAATTTTTGTTTATTTACTAGCATCAATACCCTGATGAAATAAAGCTGTCTCACATCAAAAACCTTCGCCTCACTGAATAATTGGCTAGTAGAATATGTTTTGTTTTTTCCGAAAATAATTTTTAGAATCCATTTTTGGATTACTTCTAGGTTTTTGAGGTAACAGTCTCTTACGCTGCCCCAACCAGCAATTCCGTAAGTCAGTTGCGATTGGACCAACGCATAATAAACAATTTTAAGTTGTTCTGTGTGTAAATAAGATTTCAGATGTGAGAATCTCGTCACCAAATACCGTATTTTGGATATTATGTATTGAATTTGTTTATTCCATCTTAAATGCTCATCAAATATTACTCCGAGATATTTAGTGTGGTCTACTCTAGAGACCGTTACATTTTGCTCTGTGTTCAACAACTGAAAGTTTGGTAAGTTATTTGTATAAGAAGAGAAAAGCATAAAATTTGTTTTTGATTGATTCAATGTCAATTTATTACCTCGAAACCAGTCGAAGATAACATACAGATCCATTTCTGCTTTACTTTTTAATCCATTCCATGTTTTTTCAGAATAAAAAATGACAGTCTCATCGGCGAAACTTATAACATGGCCTTGACAATTCAATTTTAACAAATTATCAATGTAAACAGTAAATAAGAGAGGTCCCAAAACTGTCCCCTGTGGCACTCCACAAGTCACAGCCCTAAGACCACTACTTACCCCATCAACACTAACATATTGTTTTCTATTTTTTAAATAACTTTGAAGTAAATTGAACGCGTTGCCTCTTATTCCTATTTTCTCAAGCTTTTTCAACAAATTAGCATGACAAACAGTATCGAATGCTTTTTTCAGGTCGACAAAAACACACAAGGATGGCACCCTTCCATCCAAAGCTTTATAAATTTGTGATGTTAAATTTATGATGGCATCTTCGGTTGATTTTCCCGCTCTAAAACCAAACTGCTTGTCTGATAATATTTTGTGTTTTTCTAAAAAGTGTACAATGCGGCTTTTTATAACCTTTTCGAATATTTTTGATATGTTTGAAATCAGTGATATTGGTCTATAATTATCTATATTTGACTTCGATCCACTTTTAAATAATGGCCTTATTTCTCCGAGTTTTAGAGCTTCAGGAAAACTACCGACATGAAGGCTTAAATTAACCAAAAACGCCAAAACGGGTGATATTTCATCAGATATTTCTTTTAGAGTCTCAGATCGAATCTTGTCTGGACCGGGAGATTTTCCTAGTTTAAGACCATGTATTATTTTCTTAATTTCTTGCTCAGAAGTTTCTTTTGAAAAATATAGACCTTTTGCATTTCGCTTGCAGTTTTCAACCTTGGTAGTTGGCACATTTATTTGGCTTGCTAAGTTATTTCCAACTTCAGAGAAAAATGTATTCAAGTTGTTGGCTATATCAACTTTATTAGTAATTGTCTGCGCATTTGAGAATTCAATTTTCTCTATTTTTGTTGCGATTTATTGCAGATATTAGTGACACAATTCCATATAGTCAACCATCCAAGGACCTTTTTTTTCAGTTTGCATGTAAACCCCATACTTTGTGAGTGACTTGCTTACATCAAGTCCTACAACTTTTTCCTCTACGACTTTTCTCGGGAATGGCAAGTATGCGCGCAGGCGACTCGCAAACGTGTCGATCTGACGTAGCTATGTTTCCTGATACATGTAAATCTAATTTTACGAATACTGTTTGATTTTCATGTCTAAATCACGGAAATCAACTTGGCCGACAAAAATAATGGCAAATTGGGGGAGTCCGACACCCCCAAAATGTCGATCTGACGAGGTTATGTTTCCTGATACATGTAACTCTCATTAATTTTTTTTTCGATCTTAAATTAGCTCTATATTGAAAATAAATGTGTGTCCGACAAATTTGCAAAAAATAATACATATTCGAAAAAATATTAACAGCAAAGATACATTTTATTGTAATCGGTAATTAATGTACTTTAACTACTTTAACTTATGAAAAATATTGAGAAGTTTACCTGATAATTTATACATAAGCTACTCCATTCCATTTGAATTAAGTATTTACGCGGCCAAATGCTCGTTTAAAGCTAAGTCCTCATAATCGCGGATTGTGAACCTTTAATTAAG